AGAAAAATACAAGTAAAATGGTCATGAGAATTCTATGTACCAAAACTTCTGGGATATAGCTAAAGTGGTACTTAGTAGAAAATTTATAGCTTTAACCCTATTCAGGGTCACTATGAATCAGAACCGACTCCACAGCACCCAACCACCACCACCACCAAGTGCCTCACTAACAACTGAGGCTCAAAATAATGAGCTAAGAAGTTTGGAGCCGGGAGACAGAAAATAGAAGGAAGGAAATAATAAAGAAAAGAGCAGAAATTAAGTAGAAAACATTCAGTAAAGAATATGAACAGAGGCAACAATTAGTTACAAAATATGATTTGAGATCACAAGGGCAGCATTTACCCAATGACAAAGTTCAGAAGGATTAGGAAAGAAGGAGGAATTCAAACAGGAAACAAAACACAGGAAGTAAGTAGGATAAGTGATGTTACATTATGGGGCTTGCAATAGATGATATGAAACATATGTGTGTGAATTGTTGAATGGAAACTGATAAGCTCTGTAAACCTTCATGCAATTCACAACAAAACGTTTTTGTTTGTTTTTTTAAGTTAGTTATAGACAAACTTCTGATAAGAGCAGCCAAGAATGCAAAGGAGAACGCATAAATAGTAGACGTGATAAAGGACTACTGCTAAATGTGCCACAGAGATTGAACAGATAAAAACCAAGCTCTGCTGCCATTGAGTTGAGACTGACACACTGTGACCCTGCATGTAGTTTCCAAGACTGTAAATCTTCACAGGAGTATAAAGTCTCATCTTTCTCTCATGGAGTGGTTGTTACGTTTGACCTGTTGATCTTGGGATTAGTTGTTAAGTGCCATTGAGTTGGGTCCAACTCATAGCGACCCTGTATAGAGTCTTCTGAGGAGCAACTGGTGGGTTTGAACCATTGACCTTGTTCAAAGTCCAGTAGTAATCCTATAGCAGTCCAGTACTTATTATATAGACCCACCTTACCCTACAGGGCCTAAGAACAATACAAACATGATGCCAAAAAAATATTAATACTTAGATAAATGGATAGATTCCTAGAAAAACACACTTTACCAAAACTAACTGAAAATTCAATAACCGTTGAGGACTTTAAATTGACTTATTTGGATCAACTTAAACTTTCCACAAAGCAGACAATAGGTCCAGATGGCTTCACTAGTGAATTATTCTAATCAATAGAAAAATGGATCATTGACTTGTGATAGAACCACACAAGGAAGTGTGCTACACAGAATGAAAATGAAGGACAGCTACGTTCATCAACACCATTGATTCTCCAGACAGTGCTAAGTGAAGGAAGCAGCTGCTGAAGAATCCATTTAATATGATTCCATTCACATAGTATTAGAAAATAGGCAAAATAATAAGTACAGTAAGGTACATAATTTGATGTTAAAATATTAAGAAAGGAAGAGAATAACATAAAGTTTAGGATTTTAGAAGCTCCTAGATGCCACTCCAAAAATCAGGAAGTGAAATCCAGAAGCTTCTAAAATCCTGGAAACATTCTTACTGAGTGTTGGATACACAGCTCTTTTTTTTTTTTTTTAA